AACAGAGAGGAGAATTCCAATAAAGAAGAAGGATCCAGGATCGGTCGTAATATCTTGCATTATAAAAGACAGAATGTTCAAGAAGGTTCTAATTGATCCAGGGTCTAGTGTGAGCTTGATGCCATTATCTATCTTTCGAAAGCTTGGCATTGGAAAGGTGAGAGATAGAGGAACAAATTTATAAGTTGCAGATCACACCATAAAGCAATCCTATGGGGTAGCTGAAGATGAAATGGTGGGAATTAACAAACTTATTTGTCCAGTTGATTTTGAGATCATGGACATTCCAGAACATGAAGATACCCCTATCATTCTTGATCGACCATTCTGGCTTACGAGTCGATGTAATGTTGACATCGAAAAAGGTACCCTAACTTTAAAGGCATATGATGAGGAAATAACTTTGGAAGTGTTTGAGATCAAGAAGCAAGGGGAAGGAAAAGATAACCGCTCTCCAGTTGGAATGATCACAACATGTGATGAAATCCATGCTCTAAGACCACAACCAGAGAAACTTTCAAGCATAATAGCTCTGATGATGTCATCCTCTTTATCTTCAACAAGAAGAAAAAAGAAAAAGAGACGTCGAGCTAATGACACGGCAATAGAAGGTTCTTTGAGGCACAAAAGAGTCCCTATCTTTGAACCAAATGGTTTCTTGGTTGTGAAAGGGACAAACAACAAGGAGTGGAAGCTGAAGTACCGACCCTAACTGAGTGATGAACCGTCGAGCCATGCGGCGTTAAACAAAACTCTACGTGGGAGGCAACCCACGCATTTAATGACTTAGGTTTTTTCTTTTTTTGTTTGTTTATTTTATTTCATTTATAGGTAATAAACAAGGCCTTACAGGTGCAAGATAAGATGCAACATTTGGAGTTGTATTACCTTCCGACTCCTTATAAGGATCTTTGTGAGTCACCCTTCTTATTCTTGCTCTAAAATATCGGGGTTAATGTTTAGTTCAAGTTTTTTTTTTTGGGGGGGTGGGGGGTTGTTTCTGTTTTGCTTGTTTTATGTTATTGTATTTCAAAGAGATCAAGAATAGTATAGAGAGATCAAGGGATGATTGTTAGAGGGTAGGAAGCCCGGAATAATGTGACAAAAAGGGGTTTTGTATGAGCTCTCTAGGTTTTCTAAAATGTGATACCAGCTAACGTGTAGATTTGTACCATTGTTCTTGAATCCTGAGAAGTACTCCTTGAGTAGTTTATCTTGAGAGTCGGGCATAATATAGATTCACATGCATGTATGATTGGTTGGGAAGTAAATTATTTTGGCACCTAATGATGAAGAGACAGTAAAATGCAACCGGCCTGCTAACTTGGGTAACCATCACTCAATTATTCAGTCTAAAGTAGATTGATCCTCAAATGTCGTCCAAATAAGGACAATATATAAATTGCAAAATTTTGAAAATTTCATCGGTAATTAAAAGTAGCAAGTGTTTCTTATTTGGTGCCTAAACAAACAAAAATTCTTGATTAGTCTTATGCATGTAATGATTATCATAATTCTCATTGGTCCGAATGAAAAATGAGGAAAATCAGAAAAAGACTTAAGTACAAAGCATAGTTGGAGAGGTATCTAAAAGGGAGGTTCGGGTTTAAAATGTTCTCATAAAATCTGTTTGCATCATGTGAATATCGAACGAACTACCTCTTGACCAATGTGAGTGGAAGTCTCATGTATGAGTACCAGTAAACTTTACGTTCATGAGCTCTTTTCTTTGTTGCTTGAGTTTAAGAAACTGTCTAAGTTTAGGGGAGTTTGATCAGTGACTTTTACACCTTTATTTACCGTTAATTTTAGTTAGTTCTGTCATTGTTTTTAAGCGCTTTATTTCCCTTTTTCTGCATTTTATATTTTGGTTGTGTCTCTTTGATTTGTTAGGTTCAGATAAGCATTCATGAAGAATTGGAGCAAAAACTAGGAAAATCACAAAAATTTGGAAAAGTTTCCTGCACACTCCAGGAGGTCTGACACGGTCGTCTGTGTCAGCTGACACTCTGCGTGTCTGACCATCAGCATAATATAAATTGTCAAAACAGAAAACATAGGTGTGACACGGGCGCCCGTGTCAGCTGACACGGCCTGTGTCAGGATGCACGACCCGTGTCAGGATGCACAGGGACTAAAAATAAAGATTTAACATTACAAAAGAGTGACACGGGCGCCCGTGTTGGCTGACACGGACCATGTCAGCTTGTGACGCTGATTTCCTGATTTTTTTTTCTTCATATTTTGTCCATGTTTTAAGCTGTGGGGCATTTTGAGCATTTCCAACTGTTGTGAGTGAATGTTTTCTATTTAGAGGAGTTTTGAAGAGGAATTATGGGACTTTTTTGGTAGATGAAGAATTTTTACACGATCAAAGATTGGAGAGACCAAGGTCATTGGAGACCAAAAGATTTTTATGAGCGGAAGCAATTGAAGATTGAGGTTATCCAAATACTTGTAATTTCTAATTTTTATCTTGAATTTACTTTGAACAATAGGAGTAGCTAAACCCCCTAATGTTAAGGGGTGTCCCTGATTTGATTATGTAAACAACTTTGATTCATTATTTTCATTAGTATTTGTTTTTCATATTCAATTTAATCGTGCAAGATTTTTAATGCTTTCTGTGTCGCACCAACAAGGATCGAATTATGGTTAACAATTAGGTTAGACCTCCGTTGCTAGGGTTTTTGTGCTATTAAACTATAATAGATATCACCTAGGACTAGGGATACCCTATAGTAACTAGTTAAATCTTGATAACACAAATGCTTGATTTCATCATAATTCTCTAAGGACTTAGGATTTAGGATGAACAATCAAATGTTTTTCACTAAGGTTTTATGGGAAAATAAACTAAATATCTGGTAATTGAGTATTTTGAACTTGTTGAAGAAATCAGGATTCAAGATTGTTACAGGGAAAATCACACACTTTATCCTAGCATGTTTCTCATATCTGTCAAAAAGCCAATTTTATATTCTACTTATTTTTACTCATTGTTAATTATAATCTCTAAACAAAACCCTCTATAGTTTTTGTTTAATTGAACCACGCATTGAATTCGATATCTATACGCAATCCTTGAGATCATCATTTGAAAATTTATTCCTTATTGCTACTGAGACAAAAAAAACTACATTTATTATTTTTCCGATCACACTCTCATGACTCTAGTAGATCAAGCAAACCGGTCCTATTTATTTATAGTTTTTAATTAATAATATTTAGTTTTTTAAATAATTTATTATTTATAAATTTATAATTTAGTATGATGATGATTTCTGCATAAAAATATATAGATAAATAAACAACTGGTAGGCTCAAGAAGAGGAGAAATGCATCTAATTCTAAATTCTAACTAGGGTTTTGTTATGGGTCTGGTTGTAAATACAACAAAGGCCAAACAAAAAAAGGTGACACGCTTGCTACTCGACGTTCTCTTGTTTTACAGCTTCACAAGATTGATGAAGGGAGAGAATATGTTGAATTTATGCATGCTCCAAGAGATTTACGGATTTGGGTAATCTCTTACATAAAAGATTGCCTTTCACTCATTTACTTGCACTACATTTAATTAGTGGGATATATGTATAATGTGTTAAGTGTATTTATTTTTAAAATATAATAAATAAAAAAAGAAAATTTAAATTACTTTATTAAAAGAATTTATTATAATAAAGACATATTTTAATTTATATATAGATCATAAATATATTTTTTTCATATAAAAATAAAATTGGATGAACCGTATATTTATCAGTATATAATATTATTTTTATTTTGACATTATTTATAAATATATTTAGATAAAAAAATTTATTCTCATTTAAAAAATTAAATAAAAATAAGATTCACTCATTAATTTAAAAATAACATATATTAGTGAATGATTACATCAATAATGTATAATTTCAAAATAAAAATATTATTAACATAAATATTTAAAAACTTTTTCGTGTGTTTGGATTGATACATTTTTTTTAAAATTTTTTAGTTAATAATTGTACAAAAATTTTATAACCAGTACATTCACACATATTTTATGGTTAGGATACACATAAATAAGTACATGTGTGTTACGCGCAATTATTTTTAAAATATAAATATTAATTTTAATTTAACAATACACTTTTATAAAAATATTTGGATCACCAATACAATTTTTCTTATATATAAAAATAAAATTCAATACAAAGTATATAAATTTTCCCAATATATAAACATATTTCTATTATATATATTTTATTATATTATCAATGATAAATAAATACCATTATAATAAATTTAGATAAATCCTTAAAAGTAGTGATTTTTCAACCTTTAAAATCATTCCTTTTGTTCTTTAATACTTACCAAAATTTTCATTTTCATGAATTTTATAAAATTAATTTTAATAAATATATAAGTGACACGAATTTTAATCAATTTTACAAAATATATATATATTTTAACTATATGGATTTTTTTTTTAATATTTGTAGAATTTAAACACAAATTAACTAATTTATGCACAAGTTAAGTGAACATGTGCACTGTCCAAGCTTCATGTTTAAATATAGGAGAATTTTTAGAATTCCCACATTACATATAAATAATTTTTCATAAACATCATTATATAATCACTCATCCTTTTGTATTCAATAAAATGAAAAATCTAATATCATTCCGCAAATTTAAAAAAAGTATCAAAATAAAATATCATCCAATCCTTTGTAAAACATAAAATACTTTATCAGACTATAAAAATCTAAAACCCAATTGCATTGAAGATATTATCCTTTTTAATTACAAATCAAATTTAGTCCACCAATACAATTTCAATATCCAAATAAAAATGAAAGATAATTCTAGAGTTTGGAAACTCACCATGACTATCAGTTATATCTTGACACCCTGCATTTGCGAGTTTGGTAGTTCTCCACCATAATGGTTTATAGGTGTTACTCTTTGTTATTTATAGGTGTTGTCCCAAGTCATATAATCATTTTCATATATATATGGCCTCTCTGGCGGATATATATTTGTTGCTCTTTGTTGATGACTTGGTTCATATATATTTTCTTCTAGCTCTATGGAGGGTCACCCAATTCGTGGCAGCCAATCTATATAGTGGCTGTAAGGATGCATTTATGTTAAGACTGGAAAATGCTCTGTTTTTCTTTTGCTTACTTGAATTTCTGGTAAATAAATACTAAATGGGCTCTAAGTCCTTTGTTCAAACTTTGGTTCTATGGGAGCTTAAGTTTTAACCCATGTCTTCCAATTATCACCATGTCATCCGCATAAGACTGCGACAAGAATACAGCCTCCCTTGGATTGTTGATAAAATATAGAGTTATCATGGAAACTGCTCATTTTCAAGCCTAAATCATGGGCTAGGTATATGTTTAGGTGAGCCAAATTTGTTTTTTAATTTACTGATTTTGTGAAACTGATTTGATTATATTTGTGTTTGAAGTGAAGTGATTATTAATGTTTGGATAATGTTACTCTAAAAACAAGTTTGATGTAAACTCAGTATAAATTAAGTTTCAAACCAACACATAAGTTACTTATTGTCACATCTGAGATTTGGAGAAATTCTACTGCAAAATAATCAAATATGCTAGAATTACATTTTTTAAGAGGAAAATCATTTTTTGCATCGCCCACCTTGCATTCAAACAAGTATTACTTCGCTCGAGCTCCCAAATAGAGTTTACAAGAATATTTTCATTCCATTCAGTGATAAATGTTGTTTATAGCTTCAAAGTTTCTAGTTTCTTTTATCATCTAGAATGTGTCACAAAGTTACTAAAGCTCGTGGTTAAGGATGCTCCAGCAGAACTTTTAAGCAATATATCCAAGTTCACTTGTCCTGCTCATTATTTTCGTATCTGTACCAACAAATTTTTTAGATATAATTATACGTCAGCACCACAGCACCAACAAATTTATCAGAACAGTCTAGTCTGCCACATTCAAAGCACTGGTGTTTATTATATTCGCAATTCTTTCAATATAAATTTTGGATCTCCCGCAAAAAAGAAATGCACAAATAAACATCTTGGAAGCATTATAATTTGAAAATAAATAGTGGTTACTTGTGATGAGACTTACTTAGTATGGTGTAAGAGTTGTGAAACCAGTAAAACAAAATTCAATGAAAGTTGACAAAAGGAAACATAAAGAGGAAAAAGTTGAACCCTTCATCTCTCACCTGTCACCCTCACTATTGATTAGACGATATGCATTCGTATGGACAGAAGGAAGACCCAACCCTGTACGCAATTCAACTGCAGCGTCAATTCTTGTTTCTAACAGTTTCTCCATGTTCAGTGCCCACGCTGATTCACCGTGTCTTGAAAAACTAAACATCAAAGGCCATGTCAACGGGCTAAGCCAAAAGAAAAAGCAATGAAGGAATAATCATATAGAAGAACTTGGTAGCTTCGTGTTCAAGCTGCATGAGGCGAACACAAAACATAGACACAAAGTTGTATAACCCCACCCTAGTGGTTTCTCAGCCCCGTCTAAAACCAGAATAATATCACCGGTCTTAGGAGGCGGTCTACCAATAATTTCATCGACAACTCAAGAAAATACATTTAACATCATTCAACCATGTTTAAAGTATATGATGTACACAAATTTTCATCACACTACATTTGGAAAAGAAATACATGTAGTTACAAAATAGAGTAAGTACCCAATAGTTTCTCATTATAGTCGGTGAGAGTGTGTCATCCATGTTCCTGTTGGAATAATATATCAAGTGTAAGTAAGTGGGAAAATAGTCTCACATTGGATAAGAATATGGAGAATTAAGCATATATAAGTGGGAGAACCCACTCACCTATCACCTTAAGATTTTAGGTGGATAAGTGGTGTGTCTTTCACAAAGATGCTTATTCCTACACTATATACCAATAACATTGGATAGAAATGTGGAGACTTAATCATATATAAGTGGGAGAATATGCTCCTAGTATCTCCCCACAACAGTTCCCATCATCATTTCATTTTTCATTTTTATGAAGGGCAATAGAAATTTTGAGCACAAAGCAGTAAATGAAGAGCTCTAATTATGTTCTAGTAACCCTACTACTTCTGAGTTATGTAAGATTTGAAGGTGTGAAAAATACAAGAAAGGGGAGTCTGAATTGGGTTTTTAAAACAAAATTATTTTTTTTAAAATATTTCCCTTTTAAGTTAAATATGATTTTCCGTTCACTATTGATAATAACAATAAGTAAGAACAGGAAGTAAAGAAAAATGTATATTTATACTAGTTCACTTTAAAATTATCAAGTTAGTCTAGTCCACCCGCCAAGGTGATTTCGCCTCACTCAATCGGGGACTTAATTCACTATAACCAAACTGATTACAATTTGCACAAGCTACCCGCAAATGACTAACAACCTCTAAGACTCGCAAGTCCTCAACTTCTTAAGGATTCAGACACACCTGGTCCCTTAAAGAATATCAAACAATAATTAACCAGATTATTACAATGCAAAAGCTACCCACAAGTGACTAACAACTTTTAAGACTCGCAAGCCCTAGACTTCTTAAGAATACATACCTACCTGGTCCCTTAAAGAAAATCAAACAACTGTTTGAATACAAGTTTTGTTTACAAGAGTATTGCTTCTAAAAAGCTGCATATGTAAACTATTTTATGAACGGTGACTTAAGAATGTGAAAGTTATGAACAACGTTTGTGCGTGATTATTCAGTGAATTGGAAGCTTTCTCTCTTAGTCTTCAAGCCTTTATATAGCCAATAAAATAATATATATGTTTAGGGATACTCTTGGGATTTCTAGAAACATTGACAGCTTGAACAATAATGTGGGGGACAAGATCGTGCGACGCGTACATTCTTTCATGGTAGTGGAATGAAACGTTGATTGTACTATGTACTATTTGTACCACGTTAATGTTATCTTCTTTTCTTCAGCACTTCAGAGGCTTCTGCGAGCATGAGTTTAGAAGTGAGAACATAACATCAGGTCATCAGAACTTCAAGTCTTCAGAGTCTTTAGAACTGCGTCTTTAGAGTCTTTAGCACTTGGTTGTGAGAACCTTTTCTTGGAACTTTTATTCTTTAGAACTTCAAGTCTTTAGAATCTTTAGACCTTCTGTCTTTTAGAGTCTTAAGAACTTGGTCTTCAGAACCCTTATCTTTAGAACCTTGTTATTAGAAACACAAACTTTCAGCATCTGGACTTCATTAGAAACTTTGTCTCAGATCTTCTAACTTTGCTTCTTTGGAACACATTGTCTTTAGAAGCTTGAATCTTTAGCATCTATACTTTAGTAGAAACTTGAGTCTTCATATATTTTGACTGATTTCTTTATAACAACATAAGAGCTTACAATTCAGAGCCTTCTGGAGTGTCTTGCTACTGCTCAATAGAACTTGTGTAGCGTAGAAGCGGAATTAATTCTCTTCTAATGTCTTGGCCACGCCATCCATCAGAAGCAGAACCTGTTTGTTAAGTACTCAACAATAACAAACATTCGAGTATCAAAATTGTTCATACAAATATACTCATTTGTTATCATCAAAACTCAGATAATATTGCAGAACCAAATCTTGTTCTTACAATCTCCCCCTTTTTGATTATGACAAAACTATGTATTTTGATGACACAATTTTGTTCTTATAATCAGAAGAAGTGAAAATAGAAAGGTAAGGAATACTTATCCTTTTTATGATGCTCCCCTTGAGTCAATGATTTGATGAAGGTTGGATATCCTAACTCTAAACCATTTGAGTAAAACCCCCCTGGTTCTAATAGATCATATATGGAGATATTGAGATTCTTGGCTCTGGGCCAATACACAAATTGAGATCTTGATGTCAAATGAACAATTGAGATCTTGATTTCACACAACTTCTTATTGAATCTTGACTTTAGATGCCAACGAGAATGAGATCAAATTAAAATATTTGAAATTTTAATGTCACTAAGATAGCTTCCTAGATTCTCAATTCAGGAGTCTGATTCCAGATTACACTTCTTGAAGTATGATTATGAATTGAAAAATATCTTCAGAGTTTGAAGCCAATAGTCATCTGAATCCAACAGGTTAGACATAAGCCTTGAATAGTGCTTTCAGATCTTTGTCTTTTAATCAGGTTTCTAATTTCCTAAAAAAGAAAAAACAATTCTAACAGAAACATAAGTTTAATTGGGTTAGAATGTAAGAAGCTATTTTAAGATGATATTTTCCATAACTAGATTATTGAAATCAAAATTATGTTCATTTAATTACTCCCCTTTTTTGTCATAATCAAAAAGATAATTTATGTGTGAAAAATATAAAAACCAGAAGAAACAAACAAGAAAAGACAATAATTTTCATTGATATTCGAAGGAGATTATAACAGAGTGAACATAGACGGGGAAAGATATCTAAACTTCAAACACATCACAACTCTCATCAAATAGAGCATTGCCTCTGATGAACATATTTCATTGAACAATTTCAATTATACCTGCTAACTCAAACAGTTCAGGCAATACACGTCCATACAGAGTGAATGATTTTTGAGACTTCCTGGATGCTTGGATTGATAGCTTGATATGATTTAATATTATTGTCAAAATATGAATTGGAATATTCTTGCGAAGGCAATAAATAAGACACATATCCCTAGGAAAAACTATATCAAGATCTTCTCCTCTGGGATGAAGATTTTTCAACAGGAACTGAAACCAGATTTTTGAAAGTGGTTTCAAGTGATCTGAACTAAGGGGCTCATATCTAAATTAAGATTTAGGAACATTTGGAAACATATCAACATTCATGCAAGAGTTGAGTAGGGGTGGACTTTGGATGGCTTCATCAATGAAGGAGCGATTGATGGTAATCGGAACACCAAAGATGTGAGAATGAATGGTGTTTCCATCAGGACTAGCAAAAACATGAAGTCAAAAATTCTTTAAGAGGTTAGGTACCCAAACCATCCTTGGTTTTCAATAACTCTGTTGATGAAACCATCATCAGACACATAATTGGGTCTTTTCTCTTTGATTACTTCAAGAAGATTTTCATCTCCTTGAAAAGTTCTAATAGCCATGGTATGTAGACAAGATTAAAGAGAAGAGACGAGTCAAGGTGATACAAGGATAATGACTTGATGAATGACTATAGATGAGAAGAGATATAAATTGAGTCAAGCAGTTTACGAAGTAAGACAATTG